GAAACTGTACTCGAATAAAAATACTCGTATAATTCTATCGTATCGAATTCTAAATGATGATGTACGCAGCGTGTATCAGATGTCGAACCCTTGTTCGCATTTGAACCTTTGTATTCAGCTTTATATCGTGACAGTTAGTATGGTACCTCTCTCTGAACGATTGTAGAATGGACCACCGTTTTTGAAACATTTTCCGGAACACATACGACATTGATTAAGGAGTTTGGTTAACTGAATTGTCGTCTGACCAACGAATCATTTTCTGCTGGCGCTTATTTTCACGGCGCTTTTTAAATCTTTTTTAAATTTTTATCGATAGTTGATTATATGATTGGTTGAGAACAGTTTTGAACTGTGACAAACGTTAACAGTAATATTATCGTTATCATGAAAGGAATAAATTATTAAAGTGTATTTGTTTCGAAGTTGCAATTACATCTGTTATCCTGTAATTCCCTGAAACGGTGAAATAGAAACGGAAAATAAACCAAAATTTTTATACGAAAATATAAAAATGCGAAACCAGAACATGCTTTTCTGTTATATAACACATTTCAAGTAGTATTTTTTCTATGTTTTTTTTTTTAATTTAATATAACATTTCAGGTTTAAAACCGTAAATAAAGTTGGATGTAGGATTAGAAGCTTTCTATCAATTTCCCTGTGTACCAACCAATCAAAATAAATGTACTAGTGAATTTTACTAGATAGCTGCCACTTTTCAATCTATGTAGAATGAATAAGTCTATGCCTGTGCGCGGTGTTGTTTTGTAGCATGTTTGAGTTAGGTTATACTTTGACTCTCGATATTTAAAAATATCAACAGAAAGGTAACAAAATGTCAAAGAAAAAGCACAACGTATCATATATTAAGCCAAATGAGCCAAAATTCTTACGCGAATTAAAGGAAAGAGTTGGATATAAGGAAGGACCGACGGTTAACACAAAAGTACGTTTTATTGTTTTTTTATCATATATTTTGCCATAATTGCTTAAGTTAGTATCTATAGTGTAATTATGATCTAGTAATTATTCGCTTCAACGAAAAATGTTTTTGATATATGCAAATGTTGTTGTAAAAATTTAATTATACTTAGATAACATGTTCAGTTTTTTTATAACCATTATATATTATATATAACGAAATCGTTAAGTGTAATTCAAAAAGTGCTTGTTTATGCTAGCATAAACAACCATTTAAATGACTTTTTAAAACAGAGAGAAATATTACCACAAGATTCAGATAATGATGAGGAAGACCGTGATGAAGAGAAGCCTGTTGTTGTTGTATTAAATTCTGAACACTTATCTGCTGAAGAGGCAGAGACATTTAAGAAAAAAAAGGAAGAAGGTATGTATAATACAATTATAAATTCTGATAGTTGATAAACTTGTTAAAAGATAAACTATACTATGTGATTTTAAAATTGTAGAGGAAGCTAATGCTCCAGCAGATTTATCTAAAAGAATTATATTTAGGAAGAACAAATTAACAGAAGCAGAATCAGATACACTAGATAAGCCAGTGAAGAAGAAGATAAAGAAAGGAAAACAAGAAAAGGCTGTGTTATCATTTAATGATAACGATGATGACTATCTTTAATATTACTTGTGTTTATTCCATACTTTTGTAATTAAAATGCATAATGTAAGATAAAAGCTGTTGTATATATTATGAAAAATATCATTTAAA